ATATAAAACTAAGTAATTATCTGTAAAACTAAGTAATAACTCTTAAAACTAAGTAATAATCTATAAAACTAGTAATAATCTATAAAACAAAGTAATAATCTATAAAACTAAGTAATAATCTATAAAACTAAGTGATAATCTGTTTAACTAAGTAATAATCTATAAAACTAAGTAATAATCTATAAAACTAAATAATAATCTTTAAAACTAAGTAATAATCTATAAAACTAGGTAATAACCTTTCAAACTAAGTAATAATCTATAAAACAAAGTAATAATCTGTAAAACAAAGTAATAATCTATAAAACTAGTAATAATCTATAAAACTAGGTAATAATCTATAAAACAAAGTAATAATCTATAAGAGTAGGTAATAATCTATAAAACAAAGTAATAATCTATAAAACTATGTAATAAGCTATAAAACAAAGTAATAATCTATAAAACTAGGTAATAATCTATAAAACAAAGTAATAATCTATAAAACCAGTAATAATCTATAAAAAAAAGTAATAATCTATAAACTAAGTAATAATCTTTAAAATAAAGTAATAATTTATAAAACAAAGTAATAATCTGTAAAACAAAGTAATTATCTATAAAACTAGTAATTATCTATAAAACTAAGTAATAATCTATAAAATAAAGTAATAATCTATAAAACAAAGTAATAATCTATAAAACAAAGTAATAATCTATAAAAAAAAAGTAATAATCTATAAAAAAAGTAATAATCTATAAACTAAGTAATAAACTATAAAATAAAGTAATAATCTATAAAACAAAGTAATAATCTGTAAAACTAAGTAATAACCTTTAAAACTAAGTAATAATCTATAAAACTAAGTAATAACCTTTAAAACTAAGTAATAATCTATAAAACTAAGTAATAACCTTTAAAACTAAGTAATAACCTTTAAAACTAAGTAATAATCTATAAAACTAGTAATAATCTATAAAACAAAAGTAATAACCTTTAAAACTAAGTAATAATGTATAAAACTAGGTAATAATCTATAAAACAAAGTAATAATCTATTAAACTAATATAAAACTAGGTAATAATCTGTAAAACTAAGTAATAACTCTTAAAACTAAGTAATAATCTATAAAACTAGTAATAATCTATAAAACAAAGTAATAATCTATAAAACTAAGTAATAATCTATAAAACTAAGTGATAACCTGTTTAACTAAGTAATAATCTATAAAACTAAGTAATAATCTATAAAACTAAATAATAATCTTTAAAACTAAGTAATAATCTATAAAACTAGGTAATAACCTTTAAAACTAAGTAATAATCTATAAAACAAAGTAATAATCTGTAAAACAAAGTAATAATCTGTAAAACAAAGTAATAATCTATAAAACTAGTAATAATCTGTAAAACTAAGTAATAATCTATAAAACAAAGTAATAATCTATAAAACTAAGTAATAATCTATAAAACTAGTAATTATCTATAAAACTAGGTAATAATCTATAAAACAAAGTAATAATCTATAAGACTAGGTAATAATCTATAAAACAAAGTAATAATCTATAAAACTATGTAATAAGCTATAAAACAAAGTAATAATCTATAAAACTAGGTAATAATCTATAAAACAAAGTAATAATCTATAAAACCAGTAATAATCTATAAAAAAAAGTAATAATCTATAAACTAAGTAATAATCTTTAAAATAAAGTAATAATTTATAAAACAAAGTAATAATCTGTAAAACAAAGTAATTATCTATAAAACTAGTAATAATCTATAAAACTAAGTAATAATCTATAAAATAAAGTAATAATCTATAAAACAAAGTAATAATCTATAAACCAAAGTAATAATCTATAAAAAAAAAAGTAATAATCTATAAAAAAAAGTAATAATCTATAAACTAAGTAATAAACTATAAAATAAAGTAATAATCTATAAAACAAAGTAATAATCTGTAAAACTAGGTAATAACCTTTAAAACTAAGTAATAATTTATAAAGCTAAGTGATAATCTGTTAACCTAAGTAATAATCTATAAAAAAAAAGATTATTACCTTTAAAATTAAGTAATAATCTATAAAAAAAAAGATTATTACCTTTAAAATTAAGTAATAATCTATAAAAATAAGTAATAATTTATAAAAATAAGTAATAATCTATAAAACAAAGTAATAATCTATAAAACTAAGTAATAATCTATAAAACTAGGTAATAATTTATAAAACTAAGTAATAATTTATATAACTATGTGATAATCTATGAAACAAAGTAATAATCTATAAAACTATGTAATAATTTATAAAACTAGGTAATAATTTATAAAACTAAGTAATAATTTATATAACTAAGTGATAATCTATAAAACAAAGTAATAATCTATAAAACTATGTAATAATCTATAAAACTATGTAATAATCTATAAAACTATGTAATAATCTATAANACTATGTAATAATCTATAAAACAAGGTAATAATCTTTTAA